CGTCTATTCAAGATGATTCTAATGGTACCCTCGCGCCAAATTTATATAAGTTGAGCAAGGATTGATTTGGAAAAAATAGAAAAAATAACGAGCACGAAATTCTGGAATATCTCACTCAAATCTCAATGAAATCACAAATTGTAAGAAACGTGAGAATCAGAAGGATGAGGAGAGTATATTAGGCCTTTATTTGGATTGATTTGGTTAAGGAATCTACCTGAACAAGGTAGCAGACAGAACTTCTGTAGCTCGATTCTATGCACAATTCTTCTTGTTAAGGATTTGGTTAGCTTCAATGAATGCCAAGGAAGCTAACTAAATGTAAGTTTTTGTGAATTAAGGTGAGGAAATGAAAAAACAGAAATCAAGATCAAGAGTTCGTGTGGGATCTTGGAAGAGTGGTTTTGGATATCCAAGCTTGAGAAAATGAGAGGAGGGAGGTCCTCTATTTATAGGAAAGTGAATGGTGCAAAGAATTGAGAGAAAAAGTGAGGTTTGGAGGGAACATGAGTGGAGCCCGAAAATGGAAAAAGCATTACTCTAATTCACCTAAAACTCATCCAATTCCTATGTTTTGATGCTTAAACAAGTCTGAGCAAGTTTTTTAATCATGTTTAGATCAAAAACGCGTGCAAAACTGGTGATTAGAAGGCAAATTATGGATTTCAAACTCTGACTTTGGAGAAAAACTCAGTTTCAAGTAGCTGACTTTGAACTCATGGTGTGCATAATTTAGGAAGCTTTACGAGATGACTCTTGATGCATTGGAAAGATCATGTAACACTCTTCACAATGTTCCAAGAAAGACCTCATTTTGACGCTTGAGCTAGAAGTTATGTTCAGTCAAAATCAAGAAAAATATGCTGACATTTATACTTAGAAAAAATTCTAAGTTTCTTCTTCAAAAATGACCTATAATATTTTAATTCCGAACAAGGTATTCCTCCAAAAATTTTCTTTGGTCAATGATTCTATCATGAATTAGACTTCCCGAAGAGAATTCTGAAACTTGGGTCACTCAAAAACTCCAAGTATCGAAAAAGTTATGGCCTTGTGAAATTGGTGAAAATCCATGAGGTGACCTTTAATCTTTTGATCTCAAAAAGCATCTTCCCACCTTTTTCAATCTTTGGACCAAAAGAGAGTTAAAATTAACATTCTTAAAATCAATTTGAAAAAATAATAATCTCAAGATGATAAAAATTGACCAAGTTATGATCCTTTGAAGTCACATAAAAGAATTTGATGGCCTATCTAGAGGACTTGTAATATTTCTCAATCATTATTGATCTTCCATACAAAATTTGCTTGAAACTCTTGAAGTTATTTGTTAATAACTCTTTAAAGAGAAACATATCTTTGAAATCACTCAAAAATCTCAAAAGATGAACAAGATATAGCCCTTAGAAGTTCAAAACCCCAACTCCTAAAGCATCAAAATGACTTGGAAACCCTTTCAACTTTTGACAATCTTTCTTGCACAATTACTTTTTCCATGTGAAGAGAAGTTGTTGTAAATGATTATATGAACCCATGGCAAGAAAAATCACTTTCAAATATTGAGAGATGAGGGAGTTATGCACTTGTGGTCAATGACTCAAGAACTTGTCCAATTAGGTCAAACTTCTTGAATCAATCTTGCATCTTTTGGCTTCCTTTGGCAAATTGAAGCATGATGAATCATAATTGGCCTTTTCATAACATTGTCTTAAATCACACTCAAAGATGAAGCTTAAATCTCAATGAAGCTTTGTTGAAGAAGGTATGAAAATAAACTCATGAACCTATGAATCAACCTGATGAAATGTATTGTGCCATCACCTATAATGCCAACATCCATAGAGCAAATATACATACATTGTATTTGTTAGTTAAAATTCAATCAATCATAAAAACACACATGTACAAAACCATACAAATCAAGGTGCTTGGTGATCCCCTATGAATAAACCTAAAGATAGGAAGAAGAAACAAACCCTAGTATGTGATCTTGATATAATTGGGTTGACATTGAAATGATGAGAGATCTTAGGGGAAAAAATTGGGGTATGACTGTCGTTACAATATCAAGACAATTCCAACTGTTGTTTTTCATCTTCTCATTTTATTTTATTTAGGGCCATTGATTACATGTATCTCCTTAATATATAAAGGTTCTTTCACTTTTCTAACCATGTTTCCACTCTTTGCATAAATTGTAATCATTTTTTTCTTCTACGAAATATAACTTCTTTCCCTTGAGCCTCGGCGATTCATATTCCATCTATCTATTTCTTTATTTAGATTCTGTATTTGCTTAGTTCATCACATCCTCAAAACTATCCTTTGTTTGGTTTAAACTCTTTCAGGTACCATTTCTCTCCTTATTTATAACTTGTTGTTTTTTCCTTCCTTGTTTAGTCATGACTTATATGGAAGGTGACTCTACGAATGTTCTAAACATATCTAGTGGTAATGATATGACTGAGGCTTCACTACAAAAATAATGGATTCCAACGATGTGATATTGCCACGTGAAAATCATGTCGCTAAAGAAGGATGTTGCCACGTAATTTTCACGCCGCTAAACATTTAAAGTTAAAAAAATTAAAATTAGGTTTTGCCACGTGAAAACTACGTCACTAAAAAAAGACATTGTCATGTGATTTTCACGTCGCTAAACATTTAAATTAAAAAAACTGAAAATCAAGTTTTGGGTGGATTTTGAAATTTGTGAAAAAGCTACTTGCTCTCTTTCTCTCCCAATTCTCAAAAAACAAAACAAAGTTACATCTTTTCTATCTCACCATATTATTTCTCTCTCTCTCTCTCTCTCTCTCTCTCTCTCTCTCTCTCTCTCTCTCTCTCTCTCTCTCTCTCTCTCTCTCTCTCTCTCTCTCTCTCTCTTCTCTCTCTCTCTCTCTCTCTCTCTCTCTCTCTCTCTCCCAATTCTCAAAAAACAAAACAAAGTTACATCTTTTCTATCTCACCATATTATTTCTCTCTCTCTCTCTCTCTCTCTCTCTCTCTCTCTCTCTCTCTCTCTCTCTCTCTCTCTCTCTCTCTCTCTCTCACTTTCTTTTCAAAGAAAAAGGAACAACATTAGCAAGAAACCTTTCCCTCCTTCCTTCAAAACTGAAAAGAAGCAGCACTCGAACGACAGTACCAACGGAGGAATGTCTGTTATACAGTTGTGGAGGTTGGGTGGTGTCCGACAACGGGATACTACGGTGGTTTTGATGGCAGCGTGGCAAAGAAAGTTGTATACAACAATAATGTTTACGATGAAAAGCTTGAAGAGGTTGTTCCTAATGAATATGATGTTATTGTTGTGGATTTTAATGAGACAACAAATGTTCAACAAGGAAATGCTTTAGAGGAGGAGAATGAAGATGTTGTTGTTGAGAGTAAGACACGAGAAATTGTTGTTATAGAAGAGAAAGATGAAGAAAATTCCACCACAGAAAACCAAAAAGATGAGAAATTACAGTTTTTGTTACGGAGATGTTCCCTGTTCTTTATTAATTGTTAATTTTGAGTTTTAATTTGATATTTATATGTGTATAGAGATAGAGAGTTTGGTGAATGAAGTTGAAGAAAAAACAAAAGCTACAAATGAGGAGAGTGATGAATCTCTATTTTCTACATCTTTCTCTATATATATATTAGTGACGTGATTTTCACGTGACAAAATTACATCGGATTTTTTAGGTCACAAAAAATTACATTTTACATTCCTGCGACGTGTTTGCTCACGTTACTAGTTTAAGTCTAACGACATGATTTTATGGATTATGATATGATTTTCACATAACTAATTACTTTTTTTTACAGTGTTTCATCTCGCAATGAAATAGTACACCTATAAATATCAAATGTTTTATTTTTAATAGTTATTTGATCCATTATAAAACTCATTGTTCTGAATGATAATTCTAGTGGGATTTAAATCCACTCATCTAATGTCAAAATTATAAGAAAAAACCTCTAAACCAATTCTTACTTTAAGAATTAAAATGAATCGTTTTATATATTATTGTATTTGTTAAATATTTTATAAAAAAATTATTAACCCTAAAGAGTTTTTTTTGAATATTTTTTATTTTTTATTTTTGTTTTATTAGAATTTCCATTTTAATAAATAAAAGAGTGACTGTAAATTATTTAAAATGATTCTAATTTCTTTTATAACCAAGATGACCTTAAGAGCATTAAAGGTTGTTTAATGCATACTAAGATTTATTAGTTTCAAAACTTAATATTTTTACCATTGAAATAGATGCATGTGTCGTTGTTTAAATATTTATGTAAGTTACGTCATGAAGCAATCTAAAAAATATCTTGTTTAACATTAAATAATATATTAATTTTGATAGTTGGTGGAGTCAAATATTGAACTATATATAAATTGATTATTCAAAATACTTTTGAAGTAAAATTGATTTAAATTGTTTAGATATTACTTAAATGTAATGTATCAATTAGTCTCACACAAAATAACTCAAACAACCAAAAACAAATTCTGCTATAGAAGATGCTCTGATTATAACGGAATAGCTTCTCTGTGTCATACATAGCATGCAATGCCATGCCAAGCTAAGCAAACACGTTGAAGTGTATTAATGCATGACTTTAATTTATTCCTCATTAGGCCCCATGGCCATCATGATGATGATGCTACCAAGAAATATTCATCATAGGTAATTGTCCCATCAATAACATTCACTTTAGTTATAAATGGTGACACAAAAATATAATACATTTCACTCCTCACAAGTCTTCCCTACATGCACCACAAGACATTATAAAACTAATACCTAGACTTGACCAATGAGTCAATGACCATGTTTATTTCATTCTCATTCTTGGTGTAAATTATACTACTCACACACTTTCTCACCAAACAAAATTACACAAACCCACTTGCAAGAATGATATACCAAGATCAAATAATAGATACTCTAAAATATTGGCTAATAAATCACCCATCCATTATTTCGTTCCGATGGAGTCCCACCCAATCATGGAGATCCACGTGGCAATTTCTCGTCACAGCCATGACCGCTTATATAACCATCGCACTCACCCTCCACGTCATCCTTAAACTCTTCAAACGCCGCCACGCTGTCTCACTGGGACCCATCCCCGCATTCCACTACCTCATTATGTCACTCATCTCCGGCGCCGCCGAACTCCGTGACACACGGTGGCTACTCCGCCGAACCAAAACATCCTCTTTTAAATGGTTCCTTTGTTCCTGAGCGGATGAGTGATATAAGTTGAGTTCGTGTGCTCACCTTCACTATAGATCAAGGGGAAGAAGTAATGAGACTGGGGTGAGGCATCTAGTCAAGCACGTCAGACAACACGAAAAATGCATAACAAGGAGACCATGAATCTGCAGCTCGGGATACACGAAAATGTAGGCATAAAGGCCCTCGAACAGCAAATCGCCCGATATGAAAATGGCGTATACAGGCGCTGCCGCACAGCTGCTCAGTGCCAGTTGAAAGTTGAAATGGAAAGAAAAAGAGTTTCTTAGCAACAGCTCTGCGCCAGACGAAAACAGCTCGGCAGAGGCTAAACGATGCTTGTTTTTAGGCAATTATAGTTCTCAACCTCAATACTTTTACTACATACAAAATACAACATCTACTTGGCAAATGAATTAATTGAATATGAATTATTATTGAAACTTGGTGAATAATAAGTTTACAGTGCTGCAAATATATAGCAGTTAATCTAGGAAACGACTAAGGCAGGTATGACACTTATAACTATCATAATAGAATAAATAACTATGAGTTATGACATTTGAAACTGACATGATAAATCTAACTATTTGAAATTATGTTTTTATCGTTTACATCTATTACACCCCCCTTGCAAACACACGTGTGAAGAATTGAGAACTTTGGTTCTAAACTTAAGAAAAATGGAGATTGAGGTAGGTTTAGTGAGAATATCACTTGTATGTTCAAATGATGGTATATGAATGACTTTTAGGGATTTTCCTTGAATCTTTTCTCAAATAAAGTAAAGACCCAATTCAAAACCTTTAGGGCGAGTGTAGTATAGGATTGGAAGAAAGTATGCATGTGGTTGAGATGATACGAGATTGTTGAAGTATGTTTTAAAATCTTTGTTGATGAAGAGAAAAAAAATAGGGATTTGCTCTTGGGAGCCTTCAGAGTTTGTGTTTGGGAACTTTGAAGGCGCAGACTATTTTCTTATAACACATTTGTAATCTTTTATAACAACTTTATGAGTATAATGAATTGGAGAGTTGTTCTCCCCCTCAGACATAGATCTTTTGATCGAACTGGATAAACAAATTTTTCCTATTTTTCTTTCCTTATTCTGTTATATTTTCTGCATATTGATTATTATGGTCGAATGTCATTTATTTTGATTGTTATTGTTTTTTGCTTCACATATCAAAGTATTGATTGAAATTTGTTGGCAATAAAATCTAATTGCCTTGATATAAATATGTTGATATAAGAATAACAAGGAAAAAAATATTAAACCTTTCTTCAAAAGTACAAAAATACTCGCTGGAGTTTTTTCTCTTTATTATGTAACTTTGTTTTCTTTGTGATTGATTACAATGTTACAATTGATAACTATTTATACTAATGAATACATGCATATTTTTAGTTATAGTAAACAACATCCATCCAATCATTCAAGGTTTTCATTAATTCACATCTCTAAAGCATATTCATAGAAACTCTATAAATATAGAATAAGCTAAGTTTAGCTTCCAACATCCTCCATTAAACTTGACTTCATCATTCCCAACAAATTATTCATTTTCAAGAACAAATTGATTTTAAGTGGCTTTGTAAAAATATCAGCAATTTGATCTTCCGAAGTGCAATACTCCACCACAATTTCTTTTTCTCTGATTAAGTCTCGAATGTAGTGATGTTTGATGTCAATGTGTTTGCTACGCCCATGAAAGACTGAATTCTTTGTCAAAATAATTGTTGATTTATTGTCACAGAATACCTTCGTCGGACCATCTTGTTGATACTGCAATTCACTTAATATTCTCTGCAACCAAACTGCTCGAGTAGCACAATTTGCTGTTGCTATGTACTCTGCCTCTATTATTGACAAAACAACTACTTGTTGTTTCTTAGAGGACCAAGAAAACACACATGTTCCAAGATGAAAGACATAACCCGAAGTGCTTTTTCGAGTTTCAGTTTCACCTGCCCAATCACTATATGTGTATCCAATCAATTCTGACTTGGTAGAACTTGAGTAAAAAATTCCTTCATTAATTGTCCCTTTGATATACCTGTTTCCAGTGATTTCTGGTAAACAACCGCTAGTCTTCCAAACTATCGAATAATCTTTCTTACTGTTATTCAATCCCTCTGGTAACTCACAGGATCGACTAGATTGATCCTAGGACTCCTTGGATATTAAGGTTACTCTCACAATCAAACAATTATTCATGGTTAATATTGTATAAGTGTTTGGCTTGTTTCGATCTCTTTCTCTAAGTGTCTAAAGATGTAATCAAAATGTGTATGAAAACTAAGTTATACGAATAAATGCTAATTGTAATGCTGATTGTAAAGACATATAAAACTGCATGAAAATGAAGTAAATGGTTTCGATTTGCCAAACGTTTGACATAAAAGGTTTCTGGAACGTAAAAGTTTGAAAGGAGGAGAAAACGTTTAATGCAAGAAATTTGTAAATGATTTCAAGTAAAAGTATGCGTTCGAAGGACAAGACTTGAATGTAAAGGTATGGAAAATGTAACAGTTTTCTGAAATATAAAATGCTCGAAACATAAAGAAAATAAGAAAATGTAAAACTTTGAGGAGGAGACTTCGAAGTGAAAAGACTGTGAATAAGAAAACTTGTAAATGTTGTTTGACAAAAGGAATAAAGGAAGGTACTGGAAATGGTAAAAGGTTTTCATTAAATTAGGAATACATGGTGCTATCATACATACATTTCTCTTGCATTCGTTTCCCTTGCCATGTGGTAGTTTGAATGTTATTGAGTATTTTGTATAATAGATATGACACACTGAAATCCTAATACTAAGACTTCTATTTATACTAATTCGACCCTAACGGTCTCGCTATAGGATTATGCCACGTTTCGAACATGCAGGACAATGCTTCTTTCATCTTTCCACGTGTCCCCAAATGCTCCAACACATAACTTTCAAACTTTGAAAGTCCCGCTTCCATTTGAATTTTAAATGCTTTGGTGTTTCTCTGTTTCGAGCGCTTTTCCCAAACATAGCCTCGCTGTTGTTTCGAGACTCCTTTAGATAAGTTCCCATAATTGCCGCTCGAAGCTTCAAGCTTTGACACACTTATTCGAACACTGCTTCTGCAACTTCGAAATATGGCGTGTAATTCCATTTCGATCAGAACGTTTAACTCTTTTGGCTCCTAAATAACATTATCAAAATCTTCAGCCAACAAATTGCCCCTTTAAAATATGTATTTCGATTCCTCTGAGAAATACCTATTTTAAACATCTACACAAGATTTTGATAGGACTTTCGAACCATCGTAACATTTAATGCATTTGACTCCAGTCACATCAATCATAACACCTTTTGGATTCCTTAACCGCCCGGAGTCACTTCACAGCGTGGTGCAGTTATAAGTAATGATTATCTTTTTTAATCACGCCTATTACCTATGTTAATTTTCACGCCACCTCTTCATCACACCAACCCATGATCTCCACGTATCACACTTCTATTCGGTGGATGCTTAAACTTCCCCATTATAAAACATCAACTTAATCTTCCTCTTTTCTTTTCACACTCTAAACCTTTCATACCCTGAATTTTTACCCTCCTTCTCTCACAAAACAATCTAAGCTTTCAAACATCTTCCAAAATGTCTTCTTCTACTTCATCCCAACTCAAGAAAGTCTCTGTTGTACCCCAAAATTTGCCCTCCCATATTCATCAAGAATTGTCAAAGTCAAGGTCACAAAATGCCCCAAGGGTTGTGCAGCTCAACTGTCTCCTAGACAGTCAAAACTAGGGTTTGAGTTCTGGTCAAGCAAAGGAACTTTTCAAAGGCCCAATCAAGTCTCATATGCCTACAAAGATGGTCAAGTATCCTCATGTCAAGTTTCAAGGCATTCAGCTCAAGATTGCACAGTCAAAACCCTAGATTGCACTACAGTCAACTGTAGGGGCAAAATGGTCATTTGGCAGTCAAAAGTTCAAATTTTTGGTCAATATATCATTTTGAAGCCACAAACATCATTTGATCAATGCTTGATCATGATTCTCAAAATTTGGCTCAGAAATCATCAAAGATGCAAAAGTTGCTATATTTGGACAGCTGAAAAAGTCAACTGAAATTGACCAGGACATAACTTTCACATGGATTATCAGAAAAATTCCATCCAAAGCTCATTTTGAAGAGAAAGACATTTCCTACAATTCATCTTCATGTTCCAAGTCCAAGAAATGCTCTCACAAAAAGTTATCAATTTCAACATTATAGGTCATTTTCAAAAGTCAACAAAAAGTGACTTTAAGTCAAAGGCCATAACTTGAGATTGGTAAATCAAAATGACATGGGACTAAAGCCATTGGTTAAAGGACTCAAAGACCTTTCCAAAATGTCCAAGAACATGTGAAAAGCTTAAAAATTGACCAAGTTATGCCTTGTGGAAGTTGGGAAATTTTTGGAAATTTTTGAAAGTCAACATTGATGCAAAAGGCCTAAAAATGCAAATGGGCCCAATTATCTTCCAAATTTCTTCATGCCAAGCCTATACACGACCACTAGGCCCAAAGGGAAGTATTCTCATATTTTTTAATTATTTATTTGAATTAATATTAATTTATATTCATTTAAATGATTTTAATTCATGAAAAATATAACCTTAACCTAAAAAAATCTTTTTATGCACATTATAGGTTCAATATCTCGTGCTTAATCAATTATGGAAGGTTTTGGGTTGATTGGAACTAATTGACACCAAATGCACATGGAGAAGATTTGGAAAAGATTTCATGAAATCAAATATTGGAAACATTGAATACCATGGATTTTATGCAATATTTTTAACCTAATGGCTTCAATATATGATGAGGAATGAAAACCTAATGCTCCTAGACTGAAAATTGCGCAGCAAACCAATACACAAACTTGCAAATTTTCTCAAAAAAATCCAATTCTGAAATCCACCCTAGAGACTGATTCAAAGCTCCATTCCTTTTGCAAAAGCTTTCTTGTGAATTCCTGATCGTACTCCAATCAAAAACAACAACAAAGAGGCCCTGAAGTGGTACACACGAGTCCAACTGTACCAAGAACATCTCGAAATCGCATAGCATGATTTAGACATCCTTTTGCATTTTTATTTGTATATTCTTACTCCTTGTGAAGTTTGTGAACTAACCATGATAGTTAATTGAATTTTTGTGGCATAAATATGATTTCACCATGAACGATACTAGGGTTTGCAGGCTTGATGATTTAGGGCTTTTAAGATAACGTAAAATTGTGGCTCGTGAGTAGCATGGTTGAATTGAGCAGGTTAAGACGAAGCAAGCACATACCTCGCGAACAATTTATCAATGCCATGGTCCTAATCGCTATTTTTCAATAGCCCCCCTAACGCAACACTGCAAAAAACGTTGCCTATTAGTTTTGTTTTACAGGGAAAGGGAAGAAGACGAGGCCGTGTCACGTATTGATTGGTGCGTTTAAAAACGCGCGCGCTTTTCCAGGCCATCAACGCGTTTGCTTTTTGTTATTTAGTTGTTAATATATATTAAATGAAGATAACGTGGTTCAGTGGCAGGGATAGAAGTGTGCAATCTCCAAGACCTGGGTTCGAACCCCAGGTCTGAATAATTCCATATTATTTTTCCAAATCAATTCCCATGCAGATTCCTCATTAGAGCATACCATGCACGCTCAAAATCCAGGGAACACGCGTCCAGTTGCCTGCAAATCAAGGGTCAGGATTCAAAGAACATCATATACAACAGTCAACGCATCATATCTGATTGGAGAAGTCAACGAACTTCCATGCTTATTGGGCCAGGCCTATTAAATTTGAACCTCCTAAATTGGGGACAGCACCCCACTCTGGTTTGATTTCTTTTTTTATTTCATTTATTTTAATTGATTGTTTATTTTAATTATTTGTTTTAATTAACTATTTTAACAAAAATATAAAAACACTAAAAAATCAGAAAATACACAAAAACATAATATTTATTTTATAATAATTATTTTTATAAATAAATTAATATGTCAATATTTAGTTAATTAGGTTTTAATTTTAATCTCTTTTTAATAAAAATCCAACAAAATAGAATTAGGTTAATTAATTTATTCCTTTTAATATTTTTCCCCTTTTTTAGAATAATAATAATTATTTACTTGTTTATTTTTCTATTTAAATTGTACATAAATTTTAGGTTAATTTAGATCTTATTTTAAATCTTTCTTAATAAATAAAAAAAATTATTAGAATTAGGGTTGCTTCTTAATTTAATTTTAATCAACTCCTTTTTCTTTTAAATCTTAAAAAATACAAAATATCAAAAACATTTAATTTTTTTTTTTTTTTTTTATTATTATTTTATTTTCCATTCTCATTAATGTTTAATTATTTGCAAAAGGGTCCAACGCCCTAGCTTCGTTTTAATTCTTTAATTTGCGCATTTATCTTACGTCGTTTAATTATAATTTTTGTAAATATCCCAAAGCCATGTAATTTAATTTTCTCGCACTTTTATTTATTCGCTTTATTTATTTTCCGCTAAATCGGGTCCGGTTTAATTTTGGCGATGTGGACCCGCGCCTTTGTAATAGTCGTAGATTTATTTCCTCGCAAAATATTTAACGGTTAACCAAGCATGAAAGAATGAATGTTTAATTAAAATCAAGCGTAGAACACGACAAACATGACAAGACAAATATCAAATGAAACATGACACACGATTCGCACACACCACCCCTAGGGTACGCCTCACTGTTGCCTTGCCTCGAAAGGTGATCGT